GCTATCGATGGATATTTAAAGTGGCCAGATTTATAGATATTCATCCCTGAAACACTCCTCCCAAATTTCAGGCATTGTACGCTATTTAACACTGTTTTTTTTAACTTTTTAAATAAAACCCTTAAATTAGTTCTTTAAGCACTCTTCTATCTGTGGATTTACAGAAGCTTTCAGGAAGACAGAGGTCATTATTCCCATCTTATGAGTGGAAAAAGCACAACAGGAGTGGGGGTAATGATTTGCCCACAGCCATAAGCAGGTTAATGCTGAAGCTAGAAAAAGAAATGTTTTCAGGCCACTGTTTTATCCTCTGGGTCCCCCTGCCTTATACTTACCAAGCACATCTTGTTTCTAGTAAAGAAATTAAACTCAAAGAATAAAACAATCAGTATTAAATAATTAACATCTCTCTTTTTCAATACTGTGCTTTGTAGATGAGGACAGGGAGACAGATGTGTTTATAATGTTCAATCTGTTGAACCTGAAAATAAAGTGTAGGCTGCTTAACCTAAATATAGTCGTGAACTCAGGGAGTTGCCACCGTATTCAGAGTATCTGCCATGCAGCACTAGAAAAGATTTTTGTAAAGCAGAATTCTGCTGAATGTGCTCATAAATATTAGAATATTCTTGATATGCTATGCTGAAAACATTCAATCTGAGCTGCGAGCAACTAGCGTTGCATATCAATTTTTGGAAAATGCTAGTATTTGTATCCAGAGATACTACCAGCAATACAAAGTGGCAGGATACTGAAACTGGCATTACAATGCCTTACACAATTATTTTGGGTCAAAGTATCCCATTGTACATAAATTCACATAATGAAGTTCAGTACAAAGCAAACTAACAATGGCCTTGGCACAGAGAAACAGATCAGCAGCTGCATTGGGAATTCAATGGAGAAAACTATTTTAATGCTCAATGTGTACATAAAATTGTCTTTCAAACTTGCTGAAAAATGCAAATAATATACATTAAAATTAAAGTTTCTTAAAAAAAAAAATTCAAGCTTGCTTAAAATATAAACTGATTCCAGAATCAAGGGTCTTTAAGAGCTGTGATTAGCTGATGAGAGGTGTTTTAGAGAGATGATATAGTAGTTATGATGACACTGTATCATTATTGCCTTGCTTTCTTTTTTCCCCTACACTGGCAGTTATAGTTCATACACATGACTCTGAATACACTTTTTATAAAATCTTTTGGAGATACATTAAGAAGTCAGCAAATGACGGAAAACTTGTCTTGCTCTGTGGCAGGAGGAAAAATGGAGCATATTATGATAATGTAGAACAATGCAGGCATTACACAATACAAACAATGCTAAACAGTATCACTTAAAGAAAACACAAAGCAGTCATTGATTTTTAATATCTGCATTAAAGTGTCCATTCTAAGTAATTACATTTTGTAGGAAATATCTTTAAATGATGTCGTGCCTATTTACAAGGAATTAGGAGAGTATTATGCAAACAAGTGCAGGAAAAAACATTTTGCTGTGACCATTTTCAAATACAATTCCTCTCCCAATGTTTAAATCAGACATTACTACAAACTGCTACAAAGAATACTGATTAAAAGAGGGGGAGGGTGTTTTGTTTGTATTTTAAAACCAAATCTTTAGAGATTTTCTTCCCTTCCCTTTAGGGTGAATAATTGGCCAAACTCTCTCATCTTTTTAGCATTTCAAAAGCCTGCTTCCATGCAAACGTACCCACCTGAGTGCTTACTCTGGAGACCAGGTGAGAGACAGGCAGAGGGTTTTCAGAAGAGGGGAACGAGCACGTATGCCACACAATATCCACAGGCTAAAGGAAAAGACTTTTTTTGGACCTGGGGAAACCACTGACAAGGTCTACCTATGGATGCAAACTTTATTCGTGGATCAAGCAGCTGTCAGGTGAGATGATGTGGATGACGTTTTCTAACCAGCCTTCATCTCTAGGGTGAAGCCTGCCTTAACACCTGGGCCAGTACAAAGACTCCCATAAAGTGTCTTGCTTCCTCATCAAGATGACTGTCCTGTCCCATGGAAGAGCTCCCTTTTAACTGTACCAGCAGTCCATCAGGTATGTGGATATTTTAGCAGTTTCCAGGTATTGCTGAAGATGGCAACGCTTCTGGTTTTGTAGGGCAAAGTCTGACTCGCTCAAGAGAACAACATCTGAGGCAGGGCAAGAGAGGAGGGGGAAGCCCCTCACAAAATGGGAGCTAGATGGTTGGAAGGGAAAATCTCCTTGCAAGATCGAATGTACACCCCCACAAGTTTCCATAACAGTCAGTTTTGAACCCTGCTCGCTTTGCCTCAGCATTTGAATAAGGCTGAAAGTGTGGACCGAGATCCGTCACTGGCTCTGCAGCACCTCCAAGCCTAACACTTGTGCTCTTTGCCACAGAACAGGAAGAATTTGAGGAGCCTATTAACCTTCTGGCAACATCAAACTCTGTTGCCCTCAATAACATGACAATCCCTGCTTCGCAGCAGGTGTTCAGTGATGCCTGCAAAGTAGCTCTGGGATATAAAGCCTTACATGGACCTCTACTACCAAAAAAACCCAAACCCCCAAACAAACAAACACAAACCTCCCACAATTATAGCTGCTTTTGTTTTGTACATCTTCCAGCTCTGCAGAAACACACAGAGGATAACCACCTGGAAGTCCACTATCAACACTGGTCCACTGAGTATGCAGAGTGACTTCCACCTTAACCAACTACCTCAAATCACTTCCCAAAGCTGCCAGCCAACAGCCTGCATTTGACCTCCTACATTTATACTCTGATATACTCTACATCTCAAACTTTTAATTAAAAGATGGGAAAAAAAAGTTCATCCAAATCAATTCAAATGTACCGTTTCTCCCAATTACTGTGGAATGCAGAGGTCATCATCATACTGCATCATTACATTGAGAAATAATCTAGCATGAAGTCCTATAAATTAGCTTAAATAGCTTGCGTGTTTTCATCCATAACAGCATATTTCATAAAGATATACCACTGCTTTTCTGTGTACAAGGATCTAAATTGAACAGGCGCATTACATCTATTTTATATGAACTTTAATGAGAAAAGGCTGATATGAACCCTCCTCCGCCTATCTATGAAGCTTAAACATTATGCCACAGAAGAAAAAAGAGATCTTATTTGGTGGCTGCACATTAGGCCCTGATGCTTTAGATTGCCTTTTTTGAGGAATGCACCATATTGCTGGCATTTCTATTCAAAACAAGCTTGTGTTTTATAGAAAAGGGTTCAACATTTACAGTGACATATATAAGAACAGCACAGACAGAAAACTCTAAAATATAATTTACAACTCAATCTAAGGAATCATCCATTTAAAAAGAAATGATAACTGCACGAAAAGAACAACCCAATCCCTAGATTTTTATAAAAGGATATTAGTTTACGATACTTTATATCAAACCCCAAATACCTTAGGTACTTCTATGCCCTAACAGTGGATCACCTTTCCAAAAAAACCACCATAATGCACCTACATGCTATAAACAAGTAAGAATTCTTCTAGAACTTATGTTGCACGCTGAGTTCTTTACAAAAAATAAAATCAGACAGAGCTCCATCAGTTTTGTTTTGGATCATTGGCGAGTGCATACATAATAACTTTCACCTCTTGAAACCTCTCTGCTTCATTCTTATGCATAGACTTGAAGGGACATTTATGTGTTTGGCTTGTTGCATCAATTCAGAGGATAGAACTACTGTAAAAATTTACATTACTGCAGGCTTGTAGTGATAAAGCAGGCAAGCACAAGAAATAAGATTTTATTGCATTTATTTTAGATTTGATGGAAAAGAAAAGCCTAGTCATTTGGTATGACAATAGCCACCATGAAATTTGTTTATCAATTACATTACATTTTATTTAAGCAGTTTTTTTTTTTGAAAAAGTTGAAATTTCAAGATAAATCACAAATTTGACCTATCCATCCAGATGGTGTTTCTCCTGAATTGATCATGTATTTCAATTTGCTATACCCACTTTATAGTTGTGACATATGCAATGCACCAAGGACACTTACTGAAACTCAAAGTTAATTTGAGTAAAACAGTATTTTATATACTACTCTCCACACCAAACTTTATTAAAAATGGGAAAAAAACAATTTTCAATTCTCTTATAATGCATAAACTTGCCTGTAACAAAGATGGCACTTTATTTAAAATGGATTTACACAATTCTTTAATAAATAAATAATTTTTAAAAATCTTGATGGCTTAGTTTTACTGTAACTCATTACTCTGTTGAAGGTCTTGGAATCACAGGTGGATCAATCCTTTGGTGCAGATAGGAAGGTGAAGGACAGGTTTTTAAGAACTAAGCAGTGCTAATTTTCAACTAAGGGTACAGCTTGCTGGCAGCTTGAGTAGACCTCTGAGCTTTTCCCCCACTCCTGCCAACAGCTTTTTTCCCCATCTTTTTGAGGTGCAGGCTGAGTTAATTTTGGGCTGGAATAGTTCCCTGAACCTGCATGCAGGTGCAAAAAAAAAGAGGACAGTGCAGGAATAGATTTAGATGGCTGAAAATACTATGGGTCACCTTGGTTTGAACTGCACCACGTGTTTCCAATAATTAATGTAAGTTTCAAACTCCTAAATTCCCAGACATGTCACTGTTTCTTATGCGCAATGCTACTCCCATTCATATGATTTTTCTTGGTTTATTTCTCATCTCTGTTATTCCAAAACACTCAAAACAGAAAATCACTCAGTCCCAAAATCAATTTTAAAGGTATATTCTGGGTTCTTATTATTGGGTTTTGTTAGTTTTTAATCTTTTTATGAAGTTCTTCAAAGCTAGTAAAGAGATCTCAGATTCACTAGGTTTTCCAATTTTTTTTTTCTTTTGGTCTTGGTAAAACTACTGTATCACTAAAGATACCAAACCAGGTTATAATATAGTTGATTTAAGACTCCAAATATTTGCCTGCAATACCGATTATAAATAATAGGAATTAAAATCATTGTTGATACCTGTGGTTAAAGGCAGATGAGTGACACTAGTTAGACAGGTGAGAGTGAACCAGGTTGATGCTAATGTTGCTCCAGATAAAAGCAGCAGCAGTATAAACTTCAGCATGCCCCTGATAAAATCTGCAAATCTAAAATAAAAGCACAGATCAGAGCAGTATAAATGCTGATTTTCATACTATTTAAATGCGTTGCTTAACAATTAATTCAGTATATTCTCATTAAACATTTTGGAGACTATAAAAAAAATTTAAAAATCATTTCTCATTTTCAGAAATACAAAAAAGACATTTTTATAGAATGGTGATATTTCTAGCTGTCAAGCTGAAGAGCCATGGATTTTTTTAGCTGTCACAAAATAACAACCAAACCAGAACAATTCTCAAGGCATCAATTGAAAACACTTGGTATACAGGAAGGGTTTTCTTTTCCTTCTGCATTTGTTGGACACAACATCACACCACTACTTACATTGCCGTTTTGTCAGCGTTTGCCAGTCTCCCTTGGCAGACACACCGATCAATTAGCATATGAGGAGGCTGCTGCATTTCATTCAAGACATAGTTAAGTGTCAAGATTCATTCCTGTGGGAAATGACAAAACTCCAAATACCAGAATCCCTAGATTGAAGATGACAAGGAACAGCTTCTGAACCCTCGGATGCAGAGGCGATGAAGCTCTCGGTGGCTTAGGCAAAGGAGGAACTCTTTACACAGGCGGTTGCTGCCGGTGGCTGTTTTGGGTTGAAATGTTCCAGAAACCAAGAGCTTGGTGCCGCTCCTCTCCTACACATGCCCCACTGACAGTCTGGGGGAGGACAGCCCCACAAGTTCTTGGGCAGTCTGGCTGTTACACAGAGGGAAATATGATCTTTATACCACCTGATGGTACAATTGCTTTTTTCATCTTTTTTTCTTTTGCTTTTTCTTTCAAGGAGACATAACGCATTTGAGCAGTGCTCATATGGCATAATTATCAGTGCAACTGCTCTTTTCCAAAGGGATTTCAACACAGCTACTAAAAAAGATACATTAGAAAAGGCAATGTCATTCATCCACTGGTAATTTTCTATAATCTCCTGCTTAGGAGATGTGATTTTGGGCTGGACAGGTTATGTATGTATGTCTAAAGAATGTCTTCTGCCCTCCTAGCCTCCTATCTCGATTAGGCTAACGGCAGCACAATCCACCTAGGTTGGTCCATGATGAAATCTGTCCCGTCTGTCAGCTAACTGCCTTCTCTCCCCTAACAAAGATCACTTTACAGGCAGATACCATATAGCTTACTTGATAGAACAGATAATACTACCAACATTTTGAGAACTAGGAAGCCTAGCTCTACATACACCATAAGAGATGTACAAGTAATGCAATCTAAAAAAAAAAACCCCAACAAACCACAAAACCACCCACTTCTTTCCTCTTATTTTGATTCTCCCTGTGCTTTAATTCCATATTGAATTCAGCAGCAAGTAATTCAATAAGCAGAGGAAGATCAATACTGCATATAATCTTAAAAGTTTATGACTGTAGTGTTCAAGTGGCTTATGCATTAATCTCTAATAGTCAGAGGTTAGCTGCTACTGTTGTTTTTTTTCCTGACAATCCAAATCCAGCAATCAGGATCACCTCATCTCAGTGGTTTGCCAGTTTCTTTAATTATTCTTTGGGATCACTGGGGTCAAAATCAGCAATTTTAAAAGCTTCTCAGAAGCATCTCGAAGTGCAAACTTTAGACTTCTTCCTCAGAGACTCTCTGCTTTGCCTGCCGGCAAACATCACTATTCCCTCTCCTTACAGGCAAGACCAGTTACGTATACCCTGTCTAACGAAACAGTGTGAGAAGTATCAGCCTTCAGGGAGGGACATTCACAGACAACAGGTCTGGAAGGGATCTCCAGGGGGTCCTCCATCTCTATCCTACCACCAGAGATATGTGGAGATGGGAGGACGATAACTATCTTGAGCGGTTTAGATGTGTAAGTGGAGCAAATCTACCTTTACTGAGCAGTTGAAACTCCTTTTGACACAAAGATCCTGGTTTGGGTATCAGTGGTAGCAGTGTGCTCCAAAAGGAGGTCTCAGATATCACAGGACTTCAGAAGGGTCAAATACAAACTGAAAGGTTTATGCAGCTACTGAATTCAGCCAGCAACAGAAGTAATGGGAAAAAATGACATAGCAAACTAGCCTGAACTTGGTAATCGAGGGACTTCTGCTTCTTGTCTGGTTAGAGAAGAATAAAGATGACTGTAAGTCTAGTCAACTCTTCAGAATACTTGTTTCAATCAAAAAATGAGAGAAATTATTGTTGTCCTCTGATCCCAGTATCTGCTTTCAAAACCCTCTGTTCTGTTTAAATCCTTCATCATCTAGCATGTAAGGGGATGTCTGCTGCTGCTAAAAAAGTAGGCACGCCAGGAGAGAAGGTGTGTACTTATGCAGACACAGACCTCTGAGCCTACTGCTGGTAACAGTCTCCTGCAAACCTCCAGCAAATCCAGCCCTAGGCTGGATCCTACAGTTAAAATCACAAGCCTGCATTGCTGACAACACTGTCTATTGCTAAGGAAATCATCATCATGTCAAAGTTTCAGCATTTTTGACTACACTGCAGGTTAAAAGCAGGAAGAGAAACTGAGCCGCGGAGGACAAAACCTCACAAATATCTATGATCATTAGCAAATGTGGCAAAAAAAAAAATTGAGAAAAGGGAATAGATTTATGTTTCCATGCAATGATATGAATGTTGCTCTTCGACACTGCTTTTCTTCAAGCCAGTATTATTTGAAAGCTGCCAGCAAAAGGTACAGCATCTGCCAGCTGCCCAAAACAGCCCAGGCTTTTCAATTATAAAAATGCATCACACAAATTAGCTAAACATACCTAAGTTCCTGGCTATCAGGACAGCAGTGGGTGGAGAGCTGGAGGATTTGTGTATTGTGCTGAGGAAAACTTGCACCATTTTGAAAATGAGATAGATAAAGTAATGCCCAGATTGGAAATTTGTTTAAGTATAGATGATTTAACGCCTGCTGTGATGTGCAGGATCACATGCTCCAGGGCAAGGCTCAGGTTGTTACAGTTCTAAGTGGTAGAATCTGCATTAACAAAAATGGAAGGAGCAAATTCCTAAACCGCACCAATTTTGCTTTGATAAATTATCAGAAAAAAAAATTAGGAAAAAACCCCAAACCCAACAGCTACTTGAGAGGTGGTTAAGGGACAGAGCTGCTTGCTTGGCAAATCACAGTTCTGACACTGAAATACATCAACTTGACAGCCTTGACAAGAATCATTACTTAATTTTCCTAATTACAACTTTCAGCAGATTACAGTCAGACTCGTCATTGATTCAACCCTACACAGATAAATGCTGAATAGGCCTAGGAGGGAGAGTCATCCATCAGGAGTGACAAATCACCTCCTCCCTCCCTTTCTGTGTGCAAACCCTCCCATTTGAACTGTGTATCGCCCAAGTTAGAAAGACATATTTGGAGGCAGACTGTTGGTATTTTTTTAATTTACTCAAAAGCAAAGCTCCGAATGGTACAGAATACTGGTATTCAACAAGGTTTGAAATCAATTTTGAAGCAGCTAAAGAGACTGTCAGCATTTCCTGAAACTTAACCCAGGCAATATATTAAATAAATTAATCTACCATAAAGATTGAGATTTGGATGTCGGCATTGAGTCAGCAGATTCTCTCCTAACAAAGTTAAGTGAGCTGCTAAGGGTGCCCCTCTACTACTAAAATATCACAAATATACGAGAGATTAACCCATGATGGAAAGGCTTAAACCGGCATGCTACCTGCTTCAGCATGTAACATGCTACGGCATCTGCGTCATTTACAGCGGTTGGTTTTAACCATCTACTTCTCTTAGAGAGAAAACCTCATTATCTGAGCTTAGCTAATCAAAAGTAACTCCTTTTAGAGGAAATAAGGGTGTGAACTTTGTTTCAATAGATTAAGTCCTTTGGCCTGCATCTGGAGCGGACAGGAGGGAAGCGCTTGTTTCTTTTCCCCTACGTCAGGAGTTTTTTTTCCTCTCCCTCCATCACAGTTGCTAGGCAGCCTGCAAAATGTCAGGATGAGAAACCTCACATTTCTTTATGCATTGCGTACTCTGATGATGCACAGCACGTGAAAAAAAGAGCGCTTCAATCTCTGCCCTAAAAAGATGCCTCTTTGGGTCCACAATCCCAGAATGACTGCAACGATGACAGACCCTGCACTTGTGCTAAACTCATTGCAGAACTGGAGTCTAAAGAGTGGACATAAAGAAGCCAGGACAATGCTTTGATATCCACTAGATGCAAGGGGAAATGTGATTGGTTTTAATCAGTTTTATAAACTCACTGTTCAAGTACCTCCTGAAAGATTCCCCCCCCCCCTCTTTTTTTTTTTTTTTTTTTTTTTTTTTCTTATCAGCTAACTTTGTTTCTAAGGGGACTTTATGACTGTGAACAAAAAGTCCACCCAGATAATAACTTCAGGTAAAACTTCACAGTCTTCACAGCATACAAGACTCTTTTATCTATTAAAAGAAAT